AACCCAGGTACTTAGATGCGCGTGTACCTTACACCCGGTCTTGTCGTATTCGCTCCATACAGTTTTGCGTTACAGATCACTGCCCAGCGAAGACAGTCATGGTTCGGATGGTTCGGTCGTGAAACTTGGAAAGGACTTCCTCACAGGGCCATTTCGAAGGTTTCAGGTCTTGAGCGCTCTACTCTGGTAACGCAGCAACTATATCGTACTGTGTTCATGCACACCGAAACCCACACAGAATTCTTGCTCACTATACCGACGGACTGGAAGATAGAATGTGCTTTTGGAAACGGCCGATGCCGAATGACCCCACTTTCCGGACTAGCAAACCCTACATTCTAACATTCAATGTTAGAATGCGCAGAAAACCTTTTAGAATGCGCCTCTTCATGTTTCAGCAACACGTGAGGACCGGTTTGAGCATATCACCTTTTGAAGGAAACAAGAAAGGAAATGAATGCAAGCTGAAAGGAAAAGGAAAGGAAAACGCGCTGCTCCAACTCCACTCACATCAAGCCTGTACCTCTTCATGCAGCTTGCAGCAAGTCGCAAATGGTCTGCTCGGGTGAAGGACGCCAAAACCGCGTTCTTACAGTCGAAGCCGACGACCCGAAAGAACAAGTTGGCTTGCACTATGCCCTCTGACGGCTTTTTTCCTGGCCTTGATCCACGACAGCTCATTTTGCTAGAAACCGAAGTGTACGGCCTTGTCTCAGGTCCTGCATGGTGGCGACGAAGCCTTCTGGAAGTGCTTATGAAAGGAGGCAAGTACCGCATCAGCCCGTATGACCGATGCGTGTTGACATTGGACTCCGAAAGCACTGCTCCAAATGCTCCCACCAGAGGAATCATTGGAAGCAGGAGACTCAGAGCACCTCCGTCGCATGGCCTGGCTTGAGAACGCCCTTCGTTTTGGCAAAGCAGTTGAGCTCCAGGCCGAAAAGAATGGTACAGGGTATGTTGGCACCATGAATGACTATGTTGCTAGCCGGTTGAAGCCTGTGACTCATGCACCCTGCACCATCAAAGCGGCCTCAACAACCTTCTTGACACCCGATGAGGAGAGTCAGCTTCGGGGCACCATTGCCTCGATCAATTGGGTGTCGAGAGAAGGACGTCCAGATGGAGCTGCAGCAGCAAGCATTTTGAGTGGATGTTTTCCCAACCCCACGGTCAAAGATGCCATGGACACCAACCGTGTGGCTGCAAAGTTGAAAGGGCAGCACATCACGTTGAAAGCGCGTAACATCCCCGAAGAACAGATCAGGCACATCGTGATTTCAGATGCTGCCTTTGACCAGACCGGTCGCGTGAAGCCACAACACGGCTGGATCCAAGGAGTCACCACTCCAGCGATGAACGCTGGGAAGCTGGCTCCGATCACTTTGATCGGTTGGAAAAGCCGCCGACTTCGGCGGAAAGCTGGTTCAACGATGCTGTGCGAATCTGTGTCGCTTAGCACGGCGCTGGGAGCTTTGGAGAAGCAAGTGAGTACGTGGCGACCCATTTGTTTTTCTAGGTTTGATGCGCGCCAGCAAGCTGAGGAAGACGACGCTGGAGGTTTGCAAGGCGCAGCAACAGTTCTGGCATCAGAAGACCCACTGTTTTCGGACCCCCTTTCGTTAGCTGTGGTTGATGCCAAGAGCATCTTTGACGCCAGCACCACCGAGCAAAGCCAAGGGTCAGATGACCGCACGGCGCTGGAAACAACGATTATCCGTGACAGTTTGTCACGCTTGAAAGGACGTGTTTGTTGGATTCCGCACAACTGCAATCCTTCGGATTCTTTGACGAAGCTGTTCCAAGCCCATGAGAAGCCGATGATGGATCTGTTGAGAACCAACCATTTCCAGATCCAGGCAGAAGATGCCGTGCTCGCTGAAGGCAATCAGCGTTGGCATCGAATGAAGACCATAAGGTCAAGCCAATGAAAGATAGAGGGGCTGATGAAGTGGAAGAGTCTCATGTTCACGAGAAGGTTGACTTGACCTTGTGCCCCCATGGCCGTATGGCCCAATGACAGGCCTTGAGCTAGTCCGCGCTGCGCCATGAAAGACGCGTATGATATCGTCGTGGGTTCGATCGGTTCGTTCATGAACTTGGATTTGTGTTGAGCATTGTTTGTTGGATTGATGACATCCTACCGTTTCAGTGGCAACTGCCTTTCTTTCGAGAATATTTTCTCTTGGTTTTGTTTCCGGCTTACCCGTTCGTGGTATTTGTCCTTGATAGAGTTATTGTCTTGGTTTTGTGGTGTGTGTGTGCCCCTTGTAATCACAGGGATCCCGTTGGACTGTTTTTTCTTTTCAGCAGGGGGTGCCAGGGACCGTGCAAGTCTGGCACTAACAAAGACGCTTGCACTGGTCTGTGAAATCAATCCAGGACGCCAGATTGACGTACCTGCCGGGAGAGAAACCTACGTAGAGCACAAGCTGTCTACTTCGTTGTTTCCTTCAGTAAAGGGCTACTGCAGCGGCGATGAATTTGGCTTTTCTGCACGCACGTCGTCACCTTGTCGTCCGCTCGCTCGGTGTTTTCGTTTGGAGTTTTAGGTTTCCTTCCCTGTGCCCTTAGGAACTGGAACCCTAGGCCGGCGTGTGGCACCGCTATCAGTTCCGTACGCATTTCCATAAGTGTGTTTGGCTTCGTGCCAACCCGGGATGAGCCCGCAGAGTGCCTCCCGTGGACCCGTCGAACGGGGGTTTGTCGTTATCTCCCCTGCCCGGAGATGTAAGTGTCCGGAGCGGACAGCAGATGGCTTACGCCACAAGAAGTGGGATGTTTGTCTCATTTTTGGAAGTCCAAGTTGGCTCACGCCTGTACGTGACCGCAGCGGTCCAAGCTGGCTTAACGCCTCAACGTGGTCAGAGCGACCGGAGTACTTTTGAGGTTCATTGGAACCTGTCGCGACCGTGGGTGCACACACAGCGTGTACATTGAAACGAGGCAGGTCACCCAGGTCGTTGCAATGAGGTTTGGTCTCATCGGTTTTCGTCCCCTCCATTTGGTTCCCCTTTCATCCCTTTCCTCTTTTCTTTCATGTCCTCCTGTCTTCATGTCTGGTCATCTCATCCTTTTCTTCGTTTGCGCGCACATTGGTCCCGACCTTAGTGTGTACGTGCACTTCTACCTACATTTTCACACAGGTTTCAGGTCGCCCAGGTCTGGACAATGAGGTGGGCTTCATCGGGTGTCCCTGTGCACTTGGTTCCCTTTGCATTTCCACCGCGCACACCTTTGTCCCGTCTCGTCCTCCTGTCATGTCTTCATTCTTTTGTCTCTTGCGCGCGCACACGTGCACATTTGCCCTCACCTTAGCTTGACGGCTTGCTCGGGGAGGCGTGTGTGTGTGTGTGTGCCCCTTGTAATCACAGGGATCCCGTTGGACTGTTTTTTCTTTTCAGCAGGGGGTGCCAGGGACCGTGCAAGTCTGGCACTAACAAGGACGCTTGCACTGGTCTGTGAAATCAATCAATCCGGGACGCCGGATTGACGTACCTGCCGGGAGAGAAACCTACGTAGAGCACAAGCTGTCTACTTCGTTGTTTCCTTCAGTAAAGGGCTACTGCAGCGGCGATGAATTTGGCTTTTCTGCACGCACGTCGTCACCTTGTCGTCCGCTCGCTCGGTGTTTTCGTTTGGAGTTTTAGGTTTCCTTCCCTGTACCCTTAGGAACTGGAACCCTAGGCCTGCGTGTGGCACCGCTATCAGTTCCGTACGCATTTCCATAAGTGTGGCACCTGCGCTTTTCCCTTCTTGTTCCGTGATGTGTATTTTTGTTTGGCTGTTTTTGTTGAGAAACAAGGTGTTTTATGTTTACATATATATATATAAAAGTACATATGGGTGGCGGGCAGCAAAATTGAAAGGCGCCAAAACCTTGAGAAAACAACTTGTAGCGCACCTGCTGTGGGCCGTGCGAGGGCCTTTAGAACAAGAGGGGAAGTCCAACTTGGAACATGCCTTTTGGCCCCGAGAGGCAGTTCTAGCTTGGAGCATGCCTTTTGCGCGCCATCCAAGGGTAAACTTAGAGCAAGAAGGAGCCAAGCGCAACTTGGAGCGTACCTGTTAAGGAGTTCACCTTTATTAATGGGTTGAACGGCAACTGCGTAGTTGCAAAAAGAAGGGAAACATTTTGGGAAAACTCAAGATTAGGTGGAGTTTGCGAAAGGGCTCACGAAAGGTCACTTTAAAATCGAAGGTGTTTTTGCACCCCAAAGCTTTTGGCTGTCCGTTACGACCACAACCTCCTTTGCTTGCATGTGGAGCTCACAGCTGAAGCTAAAGCGCTTGCTCCTTTGGATCTCACCACCGTCAACCAGTGTGAGTAGTTGAGTGTGGGTAGCTGCTGGCTAGTTGAGTGTGGGTAGCTGCTGGCAATTATATAGCATGAACCAAAAAGAACCCTAAACATCTCAAATCAAAAAGAACAACATCCACAAGGCAAACAAAGCTAGGCCCAGGACACTCTCACTTCAGGTTCCAACCAGCCCCACAGCTACCCAGCGCTCACCTCATGCAACCCTGCCAAGGCTTGTTGAAACTTTCAGTTGCAGTTCTACAATCTATATAACTTAAAAGGAGTTCACTGGCTGTGTGTTTGTTTCTTGATTTGCGAAACCATTGACACAGCCACAGCGGGGTAGTAGATATGATAGAAAAAACTTACATTGATTCATCAGTTCATCACGTTTCGATGTTTGATGCTTGGTTCCACTGGTACCCTTTGTGACGGAGATAAACTCAAGATGGACAAAAAGGTGGCCCCAAAAGGACCGCGATAGCACAAGGATACTGATAGCCACAGCAGGATCGCAGCGCCAGTTGCACAGCGCTCGGTTGAACGGTACTTCTGGATTTGAGATGTGTATTACTCCACTTATTGCTGGCTTAATATGTTTGATGAGGTTTTTAAAGTTTTGCCAAGAAAGCGCTGCCAGAGATCGTAAAGCAAGACAGCTTTTTCCTGGTTCCTTGTGCGCTTTGAGAGCACTCTCGAGGTTGGCCTCCTACACAGCCGACTTTCCTGAAATCTTCGGATCTTTGAGGCAGAAGCGGCAGAAGGGTTTGAGGTGTGAACGACACTGCTTCGGTTTGTTTTTCATAGAAACCGGGATGGCAGGGATCAGCAAAGAGACAGTGTCCTACAAGGCTTGTTGCGCAGGCTGGATCGATTTCTATTCAATGTGAGATGTACTTCTTAGTACTTCTTAAGTTTTTTGTCAAAGAGTTGTGGTTCACTACGCAAGACCGCAAGAGAGACTCAGATCTGACATGATTTGGCACGTTGTCGTTATATAGTTGGTTTGTAAAAACTGTCACACTTTGCCGCTTGTGCCAGGGGGCGGTGTCTCATTGCAGACGAGTTTGGCTTGCCCAGCTATGCGGCTTTGAAGGTGTTTGTCGAGACTGGTTCAAACTCCAATTTGTCGGTTTCAAACTCAAGTTGTTGTTTTTCGCTCGCAGCCGATACGCTGCCCTTGCGCCTGTCACATACGTCTAGTTTGGTTGTTGGGTGGGGTGGGGTGGGCTAGGCTCCGCTAGGCGTGTCTACGCAATACACGTGTTGCCTGTTCTAGTTGTCCGTAGTTCTGTTGCAGAGCTAATTCACTTCCACTTTTGGAAGGCCGAGAACCGGACTGCGCCCCGCCATTGTAGCAAAAGAAACGTGCTGACTTTGCTGTTCGCACGCACGACGATTCGGGCAACACTGGTGTGTTCGGTCACAGGTCCAGTACAAGCAGAGCTTGTGTCTCCTGCTTCGCTTCGTGCAGATTCACTTCGCGTGTATATATCTGCTTGACATTACGGACAGGATGTGAAAGCACCCCTTTCGCCTTCGCGTCGTTTTGCACTAGCATGCATACAGAGCATGTCGCGACATGACTTGGGCCTTTTAGGCACAAGGGTTCTCAGCTTTATGTCCAAAAGGAGCTTCATGGTGATTCGCTTTCGTTGTTCGTGCGCTGTCGCTTTCATATTGGTGCCCTGGAGCTGTTTGGTTCTTTTGGGATGACCTCAACCTCCAAGATCTTGGCAACCTAGGCGACCGGTCCTGCCCCCATAGAGGAAGCCGATTCTCAAGGTCCATCGACGGAGCCGGTGACTAGCAGTGACCACTGGACGACGCCCTCTGCTGCTTCGCAACCTCAGCAAGCACCTGAGGCCTGGGAAGGGGACGATGCGAACTGGGAGGAGTTCGCGTGGACGGCTAAACGGTGATCCCTGGGGCAGCGCTGCTGGCTCGCGGGATGGATGGATGTCTGATGCTCAGCTGCGGGACTTCAACGTCGCCAAGGTCGACCGCATGACGGCAATCAACAATGGAAAGGGGGCGGGAAGCTACGACTTTGCTTCCGATTGGCCTGATCGGGCCTGGAAGAGTGAGGCCAAGCCATCTGAGAAGCTCGTGGTGCCCGAGTTCGATGGAGAGGGCGTCAACGACTCCGAGCTGGGACGCTCGGCTAGGTCGTATGTGAGAAGGGTGCAGGTGCGGCTTCGTTGCACGAAGATGCCGCGCAAGCAGAGGGCTTTAGCTCTCTACACTGCCCTGACGGGCAAGGCCTGGGTGTACGCTGAGGAGCTGGACGTGGACCTGTTCGCCATGGACACCGGCGTTTCCTACTTCTTGGAATGGATTCAAACCGTTTCATGGAGGTTGAGCTGACCAAAATCTCCGGCGTCATGAACGAGTTGTTCCGCAAGTGCCGGAGGCGAGCGGATCAGAGTGTCCGCGACTTCAATGTGGAGTTTGCAAGGTTGGTGCTTCGTCTTCATGAAGTTCGCTGTGAGCTCCCACCAAGGGCTGGTTGTACCTTGACAAACTCCGGCTGTCGGAAGCCGAAGAACTTGCCCTCCTTGCTAGTGTGAACAACACCTACGATGTCCGACGCCTACAGCAAGCTGCCCTGGTCCAGGACCGTTCATTGCGGAGACCTGGAAGCGCCTCGTCTGAAACACCTTCCAAAGGAGCTTGGGGCAAACGATGGCATGGACGACAGTCGGTGCACATGACCAACCACGAGGAGTCCACCGAGGAGGAGGAAGTAGAAGGAGATCAAGGTGACCTCCCTGAATTGATGGATGAAGAGACCGCTTGTGAACAACACACCGCCTACATGGCCTACCAAGGGGCCAAGGCTAAATATCGGGAAGCTCTTCGTGGTCGGGGAGCTGATCTTGATGAGTTGAAGAAAAGATGAGAGGAGCGCTTGAAGCTCGCAAAACAGCGAAGCTATTGCTCGGCTTGCAAGAGAAAAGGTCATTGGCGTCGTGATCCTGAATGCCCTATGAAAGGACAGAGCCCTCGTCCGGCGCATGGGGACCAACAAAGATGGGGGCCGAGCCGCGCAATCCGCGCAGATGTGCCAGGTGATTTTCGCGTGTGAGTCCTTGGCAGTCCCATTTCATCGACTTCCCCGATGGCGCTGGCGCGGCGGCCGAGGACTACAAGCTGGAGTATGTGAACGGCAACCTGCACACCTATGACGTCCAGAATCAAGTAGTGGATATGAGTGATGAGCCCAATGAGATTGAAGAGAACGTCGCCCTTGTCACCTTCAAGGGTAGCACCTGGCTGGGGAATGATTGTTCCATGCAATCGTATCGCCGGGAGACCGAGGAGGTGACCAAGGACGAGATTTCCTGTTTCATGACCTTCCTGAAGGAAGGAGCGGACGCTCGTGCCTCGTCCGCCAAGTGTGATGGACTGCTGGCCATCGTTGACACCGCCTGCACCAAGACCGTGGCAGGCCATGATTGGTTCGAGCAGTATGCCGATTGGGCGGCCGAGCATGGATACCAGGTTGAGACACGTGACCGTCAAGAACACTTCCGCTTTGGAGCCTCCAAGGTCTACGTCTCCACCTTCCTGGTGCGTGCCTGGTTCGCGATGCACAACAAATTTTTCCAAGCAGAAATAGCCATAGTTCCATGCCAGGTGCCTTTGCTTTTCAGCAGGTGAAGTTGTGGGAGAGCCCATCCGGGCACCCAGCGCTTTGGGCGTCAGACTGTGGAGCGAAAGACATTCCCTGTTCCCTGCCACAACGGCAGGTTGGAGAACTTCGAGTGATCGCCGAGGAGGTATACATGAGCGTGCAGGCTGCTTCACCACCTACCCCTTTGTTTTACCCCAAGAAGCTTTCAAACATCTCCCACGTTGGGTGGCAATGGTTTTCTTTGTTGGTGGCAAACTGTCAAACAGAGCAGGGATTTTTGGGTCGAGACCGAGACCGAGTTCTTCCGCATCCACGTCGTTCCCCGGAAAACCTGGTTCGATCCGTCTCGCTGGAACACTTCGTTGTCAACTTTGAAGCAAACTTTGTTGAGGCAATTGTCAGGTCAGAGGACTACTGAGTACCTTCCTTGTCTAGCTGAAGGTACGGTTGTCAAGACACACAGTGATGTTTTCTCACATGATGTCTGCGCGACGAGCCCTCAGAAGTCGTGCACGACTCTTGATGCCCTCCACCGCTCCGTCGCCATGGAACATGAAGAAGCCCCAGCTGCTGGCGGAACTTCAGGAGCGGGGTGTGGTGGTGCATTCCAGTTGGACTGTGCCGGAACTTCGCCAGATCCTCATCGAGCAACGGGACTTGGAGAAACCGCCGGCGACCAACGACAAGATGAAGGGCCTCACATCCTTGAAGCTCCACAAGTTGGTCGAGATGGCGGAGAAGGAGGGGATCACTTTGCCGGCCAAGCCCACGAGGGGACTGATGATCAAGCTGATCCGCGATCGTCGAAGCGCCCCGGCTCAAACGGCGGTGCCTTTTGGACGCTTCAAGGGGTACATGTATCAGGAGATCCCGGAGGGATACCTGAAGTGGGCCATCCAGGAGACAAAGGGCAACCCCAACTCTCACGAGGACTTGGTGCGTCTGGCGACTTGGGCGAAAGAAGATCTTCAGCGCTGCAAGGAGGCGGGTGTGGTGACATCCAAGGCTGAGCTGGGACGAGATCCAGAAGCCCTGGCTCTCATCCCGCCACCGAGTGCGAACTCAGCAGCAGCCTCGTCGGACGGGTCCTGGCATCTGATGCGCGCTCCACTCAAGAAGGGAGCCGCCGAGATGACCGAGAGCGACATCGTGGAAGAAGAGGAAGACGCCTCCGAACAGATCCGAGCTCTCGAGAACCAGATCGCTGCCCTCAAGCAGCGTCAGTCCAAGTCGTGAGACACGGTGGATCCGAGGTTGAGGGCTATGTGTCAGGGCGGGGGTCCTCCGACCTCGGGGGTGACTATGAGACTGGGGGCGAACAGTACCAGGGCTTTGAGATAAAGAATGACACGGGCCTGAACGTGTCCGGTGAGGCGATCCATGACTATGAGGTTGGCGGGGACCAACGCGAAGCTTTGAGCGACAACAAGACCAGCTCCGGGAATGAGACTCCAACGCCACGGGATCGTGCGCGCGATGGCATTCGAAGAAGAGGTTGGCCAATCGCTCAAGTTTGAGACGTGCGCGAGATGGAGTCACGGGCATCTTCCAGGTCATGTTGGCCGCTTCGGTCATGGTTGGGAGCTGGGCTGAGAGCACTTTTGGTGTTGTGGTGGTGGAGAATCCCCGAGAAAGTGATTTGTGGCGACATCACCTCACGCAGCAGTTGGTCAACTACCCCGCTGCCTGTTTTGCAGACTTGGACATGTGTCAGTATCAGTTGACCAGTTGCGTCGATGGCAGCCCATTGAAGAAAGCCGTGTCCTTGCTGACCAACAACAACGTTTTTGCCGACCGGATGACTAGGAGGTGTGATCCTGGTGAACATGAACATCGGGCAATACAAGGAAAGGACACCGCATTCTCAGCAGCCTATCCCACTGCCTTTGCTAACGCTGTGGTGCGGGCGTATGATGCCTCGAAGAAGAAATCAAGAGAAGTCAGTCAACACTTCCCCACGGCTCATCGAGGCCATGTTGCTCCTGGAGAAGAAATCCCAGTTGGGGCCAAAGCGATTTCCTTCAAAGGAAAAGTGAAACCTATCATCTGCAACTTTGAAGAGGCGCATCAAAATTTGGGCCATCCTCCGACCCGAGAACTCATTCGACGTTTGCGACTCAACGGGTCTTCGGAGGGTATCATCAGAGCTGCAGAACAAATGGTCTGCAGGACTTGTGAAAAGCATCGCCGTCCTCGGCCGGCCCGAGTAGCACAACCCCATTTGGCTGGATACTTGCGAGAGCACGGCGCTTCCAGCCCTCAACTGTGTGGACATGGCCAGCACTTACCAGGTTGTTCTCCTCTTGCCTGGTATCTCTTCGGCTGAAGTGGGTTCAGCCTTCATTGCAGGATGGGCCAGTTGGGCTGGCGCTCCACGTCATGTGCTGGCCGACTTGGATTCAGCCTTCAAAGATAAGTTCCTGGAGCTGTTGGACCAAAGATGCACCGTGATTCGATGTTCAGCGGGCCAAGCGCATTGGCAAAATGGTCTTTGCGAGAGACATGGCAGCTCTTGGATATCAATTTGGTTTAAGTTGGTAGAAGATGTCTCCATCCTAGATGATGATGTGAAGGAGGCGTGCGCTGCGGTGAATGACGCCAAGAACGGGCTGCGCTCCAAGGCTGGATATTCCCCACGACAATGGTTGTATGGAACGCAGATGAGAGAGCGCGACCTGTTCAATGAAGAAGAAGACGCGGCCGCCTTCTATGACATCGCCACTGACGAGGCCTTCGGACGACGGCGTGTGATCCGAATGGGAGCCCGCGCTGCCTACTATAGAGCGCAATCCAAAGACGCCATCGCCAAAGCACTGGCGCGCAAACCTTGTGTCGCAGATCGACCTTTTGATCCTGGTGAACTCGTCTATGTGTTCCGAGAGGGCAAAGGGAAAAGGCGGTGGATTGGACCATTGGCCGGGAAGGCCATAACTATTGGGCGGCGCGTTGTGGTCGACGCTTGCTCGTCGCTCCAGAACACCTACGAGAAGCTCGGCATGAAGAGGTCAGTGAAGGGCTGCGTATCCGAGTGGCCATGCGGGAGCTCAAGCAGTTGATGGAGGCAGAAGACGATGGGGATTTCTATGAGATCGCCAGCGAAGATGACATTGATGCTGACGCGCCACCTCACCTACAACCTTCCTATGAGGGCGGACAGAATGTCGAGATGGAAGCTCCGGATGAGGCTGGCGATGAACATGGGAGAGTGGAAGCACGGGCTGCCGCCATCCGCGACGCTGCCAGAAAAGCCCATGTATTGGACGACGTCCCAGTTCCCATCAAACGCTTCAGAGCTCAGCAACCTTTTCAGGCCCAGCAGCAGTTCTATGTCAAGAAGGTCTTGACGGAGAAGGGGCGGGAGAAACAACTAGACAAAGAACTCCCTTGGCATATGATCCCGCCGGAAGAAAGAGAAGAGCACCAAGCTGCCGAACTGAAACAATGGCAAGAACATCTTGACTTTGAAGCGGTGCGACCATTGTCAGTGGACGAAAGCTTGGAGGTGGAGAAGACCGTCGACCCAAAGGTTGATCCCTCAGTGAAGCTCAAGGCAGAAGCCCGACTGTGCGTGGCAGGGCAACATGATCCTGACTTGGGCGCCATAGACATGGTGACCGACGCTCCGACCACTTCCCGACACGCACTACTTCTGGCATCGCAATTGAGCCTGGCCAGACGATGGACAGCGTCAGTCGGCGACGCCCGAGCTGCCTTCCTGAACGGCCTGCCGGCCCCCAGACAGCTGTACTTCAGGCAACCACGCCGAGGTATGCCGACTTTGGAAAAGGGACAACTCATTGAAATCATCAAGGGTGTCTTCGGGCTTTCCACTTCTCCGAAGCTCTGGTGGATGAAGCTTTCTTCCGAGTTGTGTCAACTGGAGCTGAACTATGAGGGAGAGGTGTTGAAGGTTAAACAAAACTACATCGACCCGTGCGTCTTCATGATTGTGAACCCGGCCGGTGGCACCCGTGGACTGGTCCTGACGCACGTCGATGACCTGATGCTGCTCACAGAGCCTGGATTGGATGTCCAGATCCAGCAAGAGCTCTCCCGAAAGTTCCCCTTTGACGAGTGGGAGAACAAGGTCTTGGAGTACTTGGGCTGCGAATACGAACGCAAGCCCGATGAGATCTTGATCAAACAACAAAGCTACACTCAAAGCCGGGTGGAAAAGGTCACCTTGGTTCAGGGCATGGCGGATGAGGATCCCGCCACACCAGCCCAGTGTGAAGAAAACCAAACTTCCATCGGCTGTTTGTCATGGTTGGCAAAGCCAACCAGGCCAGATCTTCAATTCCAGGTCTGCCAAGCGCAAAAGCGTCAAAGAAACCCTACACTCGCTAACATCAAAGACACCAACAAGGCAGCGGCGGACGCCCTCAAGTATAAAGAAGAAGGCTTGGCGCTCCACTATATCCCGGAGAATGACTTTGTGATGATCGGGTACCACGATGCTGCATGGGGAAACGTTGACGGTGACACACCTGCCCCAGGAGATGAAGACTGGTTTGGGAAGCACACCCTATCCTCGCAGCTTGGCTTGCTGGTGATGATCGCTGACAAGCGGTGCCTGGCAGGCCAAGATGACCGTTTCAGCATTGTAGATTGGAAAAGCCGGTCATCTCACCGGGTACGCCGGTCCACTTTCGCTGGAGAGACGATGGCATGCTCGGAAGCCATCGAGACCTCAGTGTACCTCAGGAGCTTGCTGCTGTCCTTCCAGTTTGGGAAGGAGATTTCCACTGAGGAAGCGGGCCACTACATCCCGCTGCACCTGATCACGGACTGCAGGAGTTTGTGTGATCACATCCACCGTGAAGGTGTTCCACGAGCTCCCAGTGAAAAACGGTTGGCCATCGATTTGGCCGGGATCCGGCAAGCTTTGCTCATTGAAGGAGGTCACCAATGGCAACAGCAGCATGGCGCTGGGCAGCCTACTCCAGAACGTCCCAGCATTGGCTTCCGACAGGAGACCAACTAGCTGATCTGCTGACCAAGCGCCTGAAGGCAGAGGACTGGTGGGCGACAGTGAAGCGGGCGGTTCTCAATCTTCTTCTACGAGAGGGCACGGGAAGGGCATCTCAAAATATGAGAGAGTAAAGGGTGTGTGAAAGCACCCCTTTCGCCTTCGCGTCGTTTTGCACTAGCATGCATACAGAGCATGTCGCGACATGACTTGGGCCTTTTAGGCGCAAGGGTTCTCAGCTTTATGTCCAAAAGGAGCTTCATGGTGATTCGCTTTCGTTGTTCGCGCGCTGTCGCTTTCATACAGGAGACGAAGGGTCATGGTCCAGATCCCAGGTCTGTAACATATACGGACAACGAAGAGGCACACAGTCAGGAAGAGTGGAACCTAGCATGTGCAGCGTCAAGCTCGATATTCTGGGCGTTGCAATCAAGAGCCTCAAATTCGACATTCCGGGCTTATGAAACCCAACCACTTGCCAGGAGTAAAGCTGACTCCAAAGTCTTGGGTGAATATCCCCACGCTTTCCCCCGAAAAGCTAGGTCCATCATTGTCTTGGGATCATCTGCGGGGACCTTCAAAGTGGGCATTCTTGACAGGATTTGGAAATGATCTTTGATCACCTCTGGATTTTCCTGACACCTTCAAGTCATGGAACGGCTTTGGATTCAGACTATGATTCCTACGACGAGTCAAGCTCATTTGAAGAGGTTGACAATCAGCAGCTCCGTGATGAAACGTGCGGCGTTATGCACTTTAAAGACACGCAATTGGTGAGAAGGCGCCTGCCATAGCCTGCATTGCTCAAAGGGACCGACGTTACCTCCTGAATAGGGCTTGTATCAGACTCGTTGAAATGAAGAACTCGCTTTATGAGTGGTGCAAGGCCAGGCACGATTCGCGGTCATGGACCCGGGCGTGCGTTTACCAGAAGCGCGAGCCCGCGCCTTGCGCACGAAGAACGAGGTACTTGGAAAGCGGGCCACTGCAGGCAAAAACGTTTTCCTGCTTGTTTTGGCCTCAGCTGTCGCTGACCAGGTAGATATCAATACGCGGGTCACGCAAGCCTGGGAGGATCGACGTTCTGATTCGTCCACGCACGCTGTGCTCACCATCCTTGATCGGATCGCGCGGGGGCGTCCAACAAGCTACGGAGCTACGACTTCCACACCAACTTTGAGTGTAGCGCATTGGTGGGAGAGAATGTCAAGGCGATGGAAGGCAACCCAGCCGATGTATAGACTGTATCCTGACTATCTGTTTAATTATGGCCAAGATTTACACACACTTGCACCAAGGACCGCCGACGTTACGGACCCGGAAGGCGTGGGATGTTACGAAGGAGACCCGCGCAAAAAGAAGGCATTCTGAAGCCTAAGCCTGACGATTCCTTAAGGATTGGACTGTTTAGACCTTTGCCTCAAGCTCCAACTCGCCTGCCGTCGAAACTTTAGGGCTCGCAGCATCGCGTCTCACAAACATCGGAAAGCTCATGATTGTGAGAGGCAGTGGAGCAAAGACTGGAATCGTGAATATGAAGATCAGCAGTGGGACCGACATCATGGCGATGACAACTGGAGTCAGAACCACAGCTGGAGCCAAGGACAATGGCCATCATCTTCATCGGCGTCGTCTTGGCAGTCTTCCTGGTGGGTTTCGTCTTATCAGCAGCGAAGAGGCTGGAATTGGTAGCCCTTGAGCAGACAAGATGTCGACATCCCGGCATCAACAACAACGCAGACTTATGCATTCGTGATTCGTGATCTCAAGCAAATAAACCGACACTACGGTTTTTCCGCGAAAGGATTGAACAGGCATAGACTAAGAGGGCCACAATGGCTAGCACAGTTTCATCTCAGGAAGTTGAGATGTGTATATAATTAGATATTTTTGTGCACTGATTCTCCGACACGAAGACATGTCTGTTTGTAACTTGTAGGGCCCTACGTTCCCCTAGGTGTGTCCACGCAATACATGTGCTGCGCCTCTTCTAGTTGGGGGCGGGGGGTGGTGGGGGGTAGTGGTATGCTTGCAGCGACGTCAGGATGCAGTTATACGTTGTTTCTCCAGACCCTTGTTTTTCGCTTTGGGTGTCAACGAGGCCTGATGTGCACAGTAATTTTGTATCTCTAAAGGGCAAGCAGCAAGCAGCATGATGTTGCTTGATGACTGCACAAGGGCGTACGTGAGTCGTTTGGAATTCTATTGACCTTGAAGTGCTCGTCATGAGGATGGGTTTGGGCAAGACATTCACGTCCCTGGTCTTGGCGCAGATCTATGCAGAGGAGTTGTCGTGATGCTTTATTTTGTTCCCGAATCCAAAAACCTAATCTCTTTCATCGACAGGAATGGCCACTTCTTATTGTGGCACCAACCTCCGTGCTGGACAACTGGGTCAAGGAGGTATCACAGCGGGAAGCATGAAATCCGCCAAATACACGGTGTGAGCAATACACTCTATAAGTTGTCAGGCCGCTGAAGGTTTAGCATGGTGTGGTGGATGTTTGATGATGTTTGTTGTGTTTGGGTGGATGACCCATATGTTGATTGCATATGTTTGCATGACGTGGTTTTCACGGAAGGACGACGGCGTAACTCATCCAAGATTGATTTTGGATCACAAAAATCCAGTCAAAAAGCAAAAACAAATTATCCAAATCAAATTATATAGTCATCAAATCCTGGACTCCTACACTTTACATGTCTTGGTGTCTTGATACCTCACAGGTGACGAAGTGGCTGCCGCACATTGCTTCAGAGGTTGAGGCCGGAGCCGCTGAGGCTTTCAAAATGTCGAATTTGTGAAAATTTGTGCTTCACCACACTGCCCCTTGCTCTTTCCTTTGAGCAACAAACTATCAGCACAAGTATTGCCCAGCAAGTACTTGTCGTGTTTGTTTTCTTTCGCAGAGCATCTCCGCGGAAGAACAAAAACAATCCTCTCACAAGACAACTGTGACAGACAGACCTCAAGAACAACTGGAAGTTGACTGTCATCGGACGTACTGTTATTCTTGCCAGATACTGGATAGCCGCTTCTTGAAAGAGAAGTATTTGATGGAGAAATGGGAACGAAAACTGATTTTTGTTGCCTCGTACGCTCGGACACTCAGAGACGAGAGAGCATGAACATTCTAAGTCAATAGAATTATTATTTCAGTCAATTCGATGCTTCAATCTCGTTTTTTTCCCAGAAAGATGCTGCCTTGTGCTCACGTGGCTTGGGCTGAGGATCAGATCCGCCTTAAACCTGCGCTTGCACGACAATCTGATGGTGCCCCATATAAGGCACATTAAGACCGTCGCAGCAAGTTTTAATGAGCATTGAAGGATGAATCATAGTCGGAAATAATATGGAATAGGGTTGAGGTTCGAAATTAGCCAACTTGCAAGCTCATACGGCTTCTACCTTGAGGTGTTTGAAGAACTCAAGGACGTGTCCAGATTTAGTGAATTTCAGTTGCAATGGCCAGGTTGTCATTTTGGATGAGGCACACAAAATGAAAGACCCTCACAGCCAGCGCTCCCAGGCGCGGTACCAAGACGATTCGATCACGATGTCCTTTGAAACTTGTGTTTCGTAGCTTTTGAGGCACTGCTGCCAGTTTGCCGGGCAGCAAATCGTCGCTCGACATCAAGAGAGAGGAGAATTTGCGGAGAACTGGGAAAATTAAAGGGTTCGTAAGTTTTCGTGTTGGGTCAAGAGAACCAGAATACAGCCTCACGTATGCAATCTGCTTTGGCTCTGAAATTGAGGCTGCATACTTCTCACTGGCACGCCTGTGTGCACAGCTCAGACGACAGCGGTTCAACATGGTTTCTCACCTTTTGGTCGCATGTGTTATCCAGGGTCTCATTCCTCTTGATTTCAACCTCCCCCAACTTGTAATTTGTAATGCTGCCCTGAACCGTATGGGGTGTGGTAGTTGGTAAGAATTGTTCTCCATTTCCCTTTTTTGCTTTGCCGTTGTATGCAAAAAAAGTCCATAGTGCATTCAGAGAGGCTCAATGCTGCCTATGAGATTTGGACGCCGATGGCAGCGTAGCTCGGGCTGAACATCCTAAAAAGGCAATTGAACCAAAAGAATTGGGTCAGACTCTCGAGAATTACTATATATATATACATATGTACAATGTGCACTCTTCTGCACCAGATTTGCCAGGCAAATGGCAGTGTCAATTTGGTCAGCAGTTTGGAACTTCGACCTTGTATTGTAAATTGATGTAAATTGATCATATTGCTGCAAACTCAAGCCTCACCAATCTTCAGGCTTGACGTCCAGTCTTAGGCTTGACGTAAACATCCCGCCGTTTGATCAGTTCTGCCAGGAGCCTCATTGCTCAACGTGTCACGTTCGTCTTGATCAGAGTTGCCTGTTGGTTGTGCCACGTTGACTATCCAACACACGTCACCAGGCCCCACATTGTACTATTCCACTAGACATCATAACTCCTTGTTTATTTCTCAACTTCAAGAGTATGGGCTAGCTTTGCAATTCGCCTTTGCTGTTGTACTAGCTTGCGATTCCCCTCGGTGTGCTATTGGGATTCGGACTATGTGATGTGACTTAGTAGGAGAGTAGGAGGTAGTCGGTGGCGGCAATGGGCAGACGTCAAGATTTGGGTAGTGGGGCAGATTGGGGTTACGAAAAGTGCAATCCAAGTTATGACCAAATGTCCCTGGTCTCAAGCAGCTGTTGGAATGATTCCCCGCATCCCTTTCTGAAAAAGCAGAACTCAATCGATTCCAAGTTTCCATGTTTGCCTAGCAGGGCAACATGAATATTCGTGAATCCCAGGATCATCCTGGATCATTTTTAGATGCAGGTCGGCGCTACTCGGACTTCAATTATGTTCAGGACTGGCTGAATGGGCAAAAGCAACGTGGGCCAAAGACAGACATTTAGATGCCACCTTGCTGCAGCTGAAGAGAGGGGTGAAGGTTGCTCAGCATCCGCTGAGATTTGAGTTGTTGAATTTTTGCGTTTCACGGCTTCCGTATTGGGCAAACTTGTAACACACCGCGTCAGCAGATCATCATTAGATATCATTAGGGATCACAAGTCGCATCAACTTCTCAAAGTTCCAAGACGCCGGAGCGGACTAGCCTAAGGCTCATTGTTGTTGTCTCCAGGAGCAAGACGGCAGCGTCACGAAAAAGCTGATTGGAGCAAGGTGGAGCTCCTCGCACCCCGCAACGGCAGTTATGCTGGAGTCACAACTGGCACAACGGCAGTTATGATAGTGATGCTATGTTATGCTTAATTGAGCTGCCTTTACGGCTTCCAATGGCCATGCTGGTGCAACCACGCAAGCTTCACACGACAGACTTTGTCCTTGCAGAAGTGGCAGAGTGTGCCATCAAGTTTCATGCCCCCGTCCTTTTCCTGCCCTTTGCAGATGTTTGCATGTTCAAGACATGCGGGTGGAAGCTGTTCCATGCACCTGCCAGAAATATCGAAGAGCTGCATGGCATTTTTGCCAGCTATATGGTTCGAAAGAAGAAGGAGGACAGTCAGACAGTCGGAGTGTCGCCATTGTGCTGACCGCTGTATGTTGACTGAAACAGTGAGAAGACCAATCAGTGGCAATGGTGTACAGAGATTTCTCTTGATGCCAATTGCTCGTCATGACTGAATGCGAATACGGCCAAGGAAGTGCTCCCAGATCTAGCTGGATGCCCAAGTCAAGTGCCAAAGACTATGGTAGAGAATCACTGCAAGGGTTTGTGTTGAGAGTTATGTTGACATTATCGAAAAAAAATCAAGCTCAAACCAAGTGCACAGCCCCATATTGTGTGACGATTACAAAAGTTTCGTCACCGTTCTCAATTGTTGGTCGTGCCTGTTTGCTTGCTTCGTTTATCCAATCGTCATCGTCATCGCAAAGGCCAAGATCAGAAAGCGCAAGGAGAACCTGCGCCTGCACACTCAGTGAAAGCTGTCACTGTTCCCTTTTATAATGCTGCTGCTATTGCCCGGTCTCAAAACCGCAGTGATCACGGGTATGGTACAGCTCCATCATATACTCCAATGTTCAGCTCCACAAAATTTGTAATTGTATAATTATTCCTTATTCCAATCTGAGCTTCTAGAGCGCTGGATCTTTCTGACATGTTTACAAGCAAAGATAGTGGGGCCTTCTTGCCTCGAATGCAATCACTTGTCTAACAGATAATTGTGCTTGGGCGCCAAGGTGACAAGATCGACACCAAGTACGTGAAGAATATCATGGCGGTGTTCCCAGTAGCTTTCGGTCACCTATGCGGTTGCAGCTTGCCGATTCATGCATTGTCATTGGGCAAAGTGCAATGTTTCTTGGATAAAGCAAAACTAGATCCCAAGAACGATACCTACTCGAAAGCTTGACATTCAGGATTGTTTAGTTTAGCTGGTCGCTCACTTGTCTTTGTATGACTTGTATGTCATGTTCAAGCACAGATGCTGAACAACCAGCTTCTGGAATCAGCCAAGGGCATTCTCAAGCGCAAAGCAGTCTTCCATCACCAAGTTGCCAAGATATTTTCGCAGACTGCTAAGGCTTGGTGTTGAGCGATGTTGTCCAAGACATCAGGAAACTCATGCAAGAACACGAGATCACACATCAGCCGGCACTGACACAGCCTGTCCACGTTCAGCGAACGAGCAGTCCAGGCCAAGGCAGCACCGGCAACAGATTTCGCCAAAGCTCACAGCTAGGGGAGCTGGGGTGGGCTGGAGTCAGTTTGGTGGTCAATTCATTCATCGTTTTGGGTTGCCATCAGCCTCTCAAAACAATCGTCGGGTAAAGCAGATCTCCGAGGTGTGCAGCCTTTTGTGTGTAGAGGCTTTGAGGTTGAGCTCGGTTGATGCCAGCGACAACCTATAGGCATCCAGATGATCCAAAGAAAGGGTCCCACAAGTGAGTTGGGGAACCCTTTTCGGGTAGAATAATGGAACCACAGATCTCCGAGCTGTCATTTGAGACCAGCATAGTTTCAGTGGGGCACCTGAGCTTGCAATGCATTGTGCACTCACTAGGGCCATTGGGGATTTGTCTCTTAGGTTGAAAGACTGCTGATGAAGGAGACAGATGCAAAGCTGGTGGTATTTGGTCAGAGCCCTTAGGAGTTGGAGCAGAACAGTTGGGGCACTGAAGGCAAAGCTGATTTTTCATGCATGTTTTGAAGCACGTTGATCAACCAGAAACTTAAACATGCTAAATAGGATCCAATAGGCCGCATCGGCCTCTTCGTACTCTTTAACGTACCCCATCCATCCCTTCCCTTCCCTTCCATTCCCATCCCTTCCCATCCCTTCCATCCAATGCAGACAGACAGGCAGACAGCCAGCCAGCCAGGCAGACAGGCAGACAGGTAGACAGACAGACAGAGAGACAGACGGAGAGACAGAGACAGACAGACATTTTGCAGAGCCGAGGCTGGTAGTCCTCTTGCTGATGCATTTCTGCACATGTTCCTGCCTACTCTACTGAAACAAGAGCACCTGAGCACTTGGATGCAGACTTCACAGTACCGTTCACCGGTTCATTCACAGCATTTTTGTTGCTCCAGTCAAGGTCATCACTACGTGCTTTTTGATCAGATGGAAAAGATGTTAAAAAGATTGCAAAAGAAGTGCGCCAGGGGCTTCTTAAGTCTTCTGAGCTTTTCCAAATCCAGGACTCCATTTGGTGTCCCCTCTATGACGGGAGTAGACTGCTAAACTGCCACCCCAATGGTGACAAGTTGACGAGGTTCGACAGCACATCCCTTTGCACAACCGTAATGCAAGATACCTTGGAACATGAAGAGCCGTTTAAGAGACCTAAGAGTCCCAAAGTCTCAATGGCATGTGGCATGCTGCGTACATGATTCAGCGTCATCCTTGGGTGAACCTGTGCAGGTACATCCGCCTCGATGGGAGGGTTGCCAAACCTTTGCGTCAGGCAAACTGTGTGAGTGGTCCACTTCACGGGCGCTTTGATTTGAATTGCTTCAACTTGACTTTTTCATTAGGGATTGATCGACAAGTTCCAAGAGGATGAAGAGGTGGAGGTAGCAATTGTTGCGTAGCACCCTCGGTTTTGAAAACAATTTCGCGTGAAGTTCGTACTGAGCTCCACGCTGAGGATGAAAGCTTGTGGTCAAGGTATTTCTTTAACGGCTGCCTGGGCCCCTGCTATTGTAGCAAGTTGCTTGGAAGTGACAGAGAATTCTTTCTGCGCATTCATTCGCACGGTGATTGTAGACATTGTTTCGCATTGAAGAGTGGTTTGCCATGGTTTGCCTTTTGCTGTACGCAAGAAGCGTACTTTCATCGGCCAGACATTGCTCATTGGTCATGTTACAATATGCTTGGTATTTGCATTGGCTACAAAGACCATCGTTGCATCCTTTTTGATTTCACGCGCAAGACATCTTCTTCAACAGTTCCTGTTGGTCCAGCTGCTCGGTTCTTGCAGGTGGTCCTTAGCCCACAGCTCCCACCTTTTTGTAGCAACATCAACGAAGCGTCCCTTACCAGACGCATGGATGAAGGGGATTACATCAAGCTGGTCACAGTCGTCGTCAACGCCATACGTCATTTGATTTTCACCAGTAGCATGCTGCGTAGCAGCATGTCACCTGGTTGCAAGCCTGCATCCAGTCTCCCGTTTGCACATCTCGCTCCTGGAGGGTGCCCTTCTGTACTGGGTACTTGGGCTAAGTCGTCTTGTCTCGCAAAAAGTCGTCCTGTTGCAGTGTGCCCTTGCGGGACTGCATGTTTTTAGATTCTAGATGTTATATATTACATAGATATTCTACTATGACTTTACAAGTACTCCTTGTGATAGCGTGCCCTTGGTGTTTTAGATGCTGCTTGGGGACATGATGGACACACAGCGCTCACCGACACTTTCTCTGAGATACCTGTTCCCACATTGTACCCTTTGGCTATTAAACGCAATTTTCTCCACTACAGAGAAAGAGGCTTGTGTTGCTTTTGTACCTGAGCTTCTGAAGTTTCAAGCAGGACCAGGGTTCCGAAAGGGGAGTGGTCAAGTGGACCTCGCGAAAAAGGTCGCGCGGAGGTCCCAGAGCCTCGCGCGCGGTTCGCGCAGAACGAACCATACTATAGTGCTTGTGTTTCTCCCCTTGTTGACTCCCCTGCATCCTGTAACGATTTAAATTTGAATGCTTCCATGGGCCCATGCATAAAATGATTCCACAGCAACACAAAACATCACAAGACTTTAAATACTTCCATCCGTCGCGACAGCACTGGGGTTAGAATGTTGATAGAGGGTGCGCCATTGTTTTTGTGGGTTGAAGCTATTCTCAAACCATCGATGGTGAAAGAGGGCGCGCCATGGTGTTCATGCATCAGAATAACAGAACAAGAATACCCAAATGTGGTTTTTGTATGGGCGTGCTCAGTGCTCAAGAGACTTGTTGTCTTGATGACTCCGAAGAGTTGCTTGCATAAAGGAGCGTGCCCATGAGGGTTGGATGGTTTTGGAATTGATCAGCGTGACTTTTTTCGATTGGGGTGACATGTTCCTGAATGAGCGCTCTGGCTGGTGGCCACCTCAATCCACTGCTTCTTCTGCAGGGCCCTTTTCGACTAGCAGCATACGAAAGGAATCAGTAGGCAAAGCAAAGCAAAAACTCTCCCGGCCCCACCATCAAGAGCACTGCCTCCAGGCTACGGGAGTTATAGGGCATTGATTCGCTTTGCTGGCGAGTTCCATTCTGAAGCAGCAAACCATGCTGAATCTAAGCTTATTCGGGGGGTGAAGCAGTGATGGTCAAGTTCAGAGATATCTTCCGAGGACTACCGAGGACTTCCATCGAGGGCGTCAGAGCTACTACTTAAAGTTGTTTTCGAGCAGCGGCCACACGATTCCAAATTGCAAAATGCTTTTCCGGTCCTGCCTTCAGGGGCTTGGTTTTCCTGGGCTGCTTGATGCTTTTGCGTATTTTGAGATGTCTTGAGAGTGTCGTGAAGCCTCTTGAGGCTCGAACTGTTGTTTTCGCCGAGCTTTTGTGGACTCCAGCGATGCACGCCCATCTATTTTGCATCTTCAGCTTTGCGCAAAGAGGTTTAACATGGACACGTTTCACGCACAGTTGCAAATCCCACACCTACTCCGTGTCAGCTAGGCAGCTAGTCAAGTCACCGACCCGTCTCGGCACTGCAATTATGCCAGCTTGGAACAAGCTGAAGCACGAGTTCATCGACATGGGCCCGGTTCCTGTAGCAGTTCTCTTATGTAGTGGCATCATGCCCAAACAGCCGAAAGGGTTCGCTTCCAATATGTTTGCCTGCAAGGCTCAAGCATGATGTGGACATCATCTACTGCGCTGGGAGCTTGGAAGCCGCGCGCACGAGTGCTAGTGAGACGAAATCATTTGGCTTCTTGAGCACTGGAAGCTTTGTACGCTATCATCAGGTTTTGGAAGGCAAACCCTTCATGGATGATGCAGTAATCAGGTGGGAAGCGATTCACCGATTGATAGTTTGACCAGACACTGCATTTGCAAATCGAAACAAATTGGGCAAACTAGTGCGCGGCGGGTTTAGGGGCAACTAGCAGGTCCTCTCGAGACTTCAGACCCGGCTTTTTGGGATGCCTCCTCAGAGCGCAGGAGACAACATGAACGCATAACGGAATAACTTAAGATAAACATAGATAAACCCAGCTATACTCCATCGAAAAACAAAGGTAGCGTGGCCCTTTGGAATACAAGCCGTTGGCCTTAAGAGGGCCTTGTAACGGTTGAAATAACTTGTGGGCAAGAACGCCCTTCCAAGCACACCAAGAGAAGCCGTCGCTGTTGCGACACGTGAAGAGGCAGCCAATCTCTAACTCGAAGCCACAAAGCCTACGCTAGTGCTACGAAAGTCTCGCTGAGGCACGATCTAAACCTGCGGAAACTTTGAGGAAACAAAGCGCGCCGAACGAACGCCACCGTCGTCCAAGCCCCACATGTCCGCGTCACCAAAAGCAGAGACCGGTCCTCTCACGAGACGCCAGGCACCTGGGCACACACACTCACCTCCATGAGCGTACACGCGCATATGAGGTTGCGACGACGACGACGACGACGATGATGATGATGATGAAGTTGATGATAGTATATTGAAGGCGACGGTGCTGATGACGATGATGCTGAGTATGATTCTGACCCTGACAGTTAAGAAACTCACACTCCAAACTTCCCAGCAGTTGCAGTCGCAGTTCCTGGTGAGAACACTATGCGCTGGAGAATCTCGCCGCGTTGGGGCAGGTTTTCAACTTCAAATTATTCTGGCAGGTTTGCCGAATCAGTTTTCTACTGTGAACAAGGTCCACTTGTTGTGTCTTCAAAGTAGATGGCGCAAACCCTAAGATGTTTATTATCGAGTTGCCACGATCATCATCATCATCATCATCATCATCATCATCATTCACGACGATGATCTTGATGATGAGAAAGTTTCACTGGCACAGTCGCAATCCATGGTCAGCGGACACGCGATGTTGATGAGCACGCTAATGCGTGTCGCCAATGATGATGTTGATTGCGATGACTATACTAATGATGAAGTTGAGGGTCGCGACGACGGTACAGTAGCGATGATAATGCATTGAATGATATTGAAGGCGACGGTGCTGATGACGATGACGGTGAGTATGATTCTGACCCTGACAGTTGAGGAGTTCACACGCGATATAGGCTCTTCACTGTTCACACGCGATATAGGCTCTTCACTGCTCGCATAAGAGATTTAAGCATCTTCTGCAGCGTTGTGGAGGGTCTAGCGTGCATTGACGAGGAACAGAGTCTACCACATGGTCGCGGAGTGCCAAAAAGACTCCGTAGTTGATTGGGTAGATGGTAGAGGCCCAAGTCTTAAATCAATCTCAAGGGCAGCTCTCCAGCTACCTAACTCGAGACCGGTCCTCTCACGAACGGGCACGCGGGCGCCTGGGCACCGGGCACAGACCGGTTCTGCGGGCACCCGGGCACCTGAGAAGACCTTACTCCAAAAGTAAGCCTTGGATTTATCATGATTTATCTATATATGGTCTGGTGTAACTCTGTGCGATAGTTTTGAGTGGGGGCGCAATAGGAGTGTTTTTCTTACGATATCTTACGATATTATACATTTCGCAAACCTGGGTCTTCAGCTATTCCTGCAGAACCAAAGTACAATTGCAGCTGAAACTCTGTCAAGACCATTGCGCTTTACAATGCTGTTTTTTGCAGTATGTTCCAGCGCCTATTTTCTGAGGGAGGGGGCACGGCGAAATCAAAAGCTCATAAACCAAGCACGCTGCTTGAGACCAAGCCAGCCAGCCTCCATCTTAAGCTTTCTTGTTTGTTTCTAGGGTTTGGTGGGTTTTGCGTGAAACCCGTCTTGGTTCCCCAAACAAGGTGGTCACATACAGTAAAAGTTGAGAGTGGGTGTGCTAGGGAGAGCACACACTAGCTCAAAACCTTTAGAAAGCATTTTAAATACCGTGCAAAATTTCAAAAGACCTAGGCAAAATTTGTAAGACCGTGCAAAATTTCAACCTTCCTGTACCCAGTCTCGATGTGCAATGTCAATTACAACAATTGCTCTTCGTTTGCCCACTATCAATGTGTAACACCGATGACAAGTAGGTTAATCTTTCTCTGCGCGCAATGCATGTAGCATCATGAGCGAATATAGGTACAATACTATCTATATATATATTTCAAGATGACCATGTATGTCAATGAGACTACTGCTTTAGTCTCTTGCTTATCTGGATTTTTATGATGTATTTTTACGCGTCCTTTTAGGAGTGTTTTTCTTACGATATCTTACGATAATACATTTCGCAAACCTGGGTCTTCAGCTATTCCTGCAGAACCAAAGTACAATTGCAGCTGAAACTCTGTCAAGACCATTGCGCTTTACAATGCTGTTTTTTGCAGTATGTTCCAGCGCCTATTTTCTTAGGGAGGGGGCATGGCGAAATCAAAAGCTCATAAACCAAAGCACGCTGCTTGAGACCAAGCCAGCCAGCCTCCATCTTAAGCTTTCTTGTTTGTTTCTAGGGTTTGGTGGGTTTTGCATGAAACCCGTCTTGGTTCCCCAAACAAGGTGGTCACATACAGTAAAAGTTGAGAGTGGGTGTGCTAGGGAGAGCGCACACTAGCTCAAAACCTTTAGAAAGCATTTTAAATACCGTGCAAAATTTCAAAAGACCTAGGCAAAATTTGCAAGACCGTGCAAAATTTCAACCTTCCTGTGCCCAGTCTCGATGTGCAATGTCAATTACAA